AAGTTCTCTCACCCTATTTCTACCATTCTGAGGCTAACCACAGGACAGATAATAATTACATGTTGGTTTCAAATTGTTTCGTGGATTTGGAAGGTAGAAGTTGGAAGAGTATTTTTTTCCATTATTTCCCATTTTGTATTTAAATTGTGGCAAGAAATATGCTCACAGCCAATAATATGAATCTCTCCTTAGATGTCAGTCCTTCAATTCATGAAAGATTGAATGCAATATCAGAAACACTCCAAACAACCTCCAATTTTAATTTTAATGTGACTAGTAGAAATTACTAAACACAAGAATTGTCTCTTAGCTAAACTATTGATTTAACCGTGATATTTTTTTTAGAGAAAATCCTTAAACATATGAAATAATACTAATAAATAAATAAAAAACAATGACAGCAATAGCAGCAGCAGTAGTTGCCACACACTTTCCCTGTTTGCTCTCTTTTTTTAATCAAAGATTTTCAAATGCCATTATATAATTACAATGGAAGAGGAAAAATCCACTTCTTTGGCAGCTGTGAAGCCAACATACAGGAACCTGACAGGGGCAATGCTGCTGACCAACTCAAAGCTGATTTATACACATTTCCAAAAGCAACAGAATCTACCTTAAGGAGTGAGTGAGCAAGAGACTGTTGAGGTCTAAAAAAGGCACATTATGCTAGACAATAAAACCTATTTTGTGTCCCTGGAATCAAGTATGTTCTATGTGATCTTCCACCAGAGCAACTGTGGACTGTGAATCAAGTCAGAGAAAGAGGATGTGAGGGCGATCTGGCTGCGACATCTGTCACCCCATTGATCACCAGGGTTGATCTGGCTGGCTAGGCAGGTGTCCCCTTCCTTCCTCACCGCTCCATGTGCACCCTTGCCGAAGCTGCACACTCGGTGGAAGAAGACGACTATCCCAGATAGATAGATCTTTGGTCAAGGGTATACAATAGCTATGCTCCCCTGCTAGAACCTCCAAACAAGCCCTGTATGGTCTATCATATGAAATGTTCTAAGTTACAATTGTGATTTTCAAAGGAAAGCTAACCAGAAGTTTGAGGAAACCATCAGAAAAACACCATCTCTGCGAGTCCCAATAAAAATCTGGAAAAGGCCGAGATGCTCGAGGGCTCCGTCTCGTCTACAGGAGCTTCCCCGGCGCCGGAAAAGCAGTTGGACTTAACCAAGACAACCCCGCGGGCCCTGTCCCACTTCTACAAAGTCTCCCCTTCGCGTCGCTCGGCTGCCTCCCTCTTTATGCGTTCGCCGCAAGCCTAGAGCGTCGCCTCCTGGGTGGGGAGGGGGGGACGTTCTAGCTCAGTGGGACTAACTAGACTCGGGCCTTCCGGGCGGAACCTTCCTGCGCGGGCGAGGGGGGGGACCGGGGCGCGCGGGAGACGGCTTCCGGGTCCGAGGCTGCCACAGCCACTATGGAGACCATCCTGGAGCAGCAGCACCGCTACCACGAGGAGCACGAGCGGCTGATGGACATGATGGTCAAGGAGATGCTGATTCGCAAGTCCACACTGCGGGATCAGATCAACTTGGACCACCGGACACGGGCCATGCAGGACCGATAAATGGAAGTCAGCGGCAACCTGCGTGACCTCTACGATGACAAGGACGGATTGCGAAAGGAGGAGTTTGGTGCGATTTCTGGGCCCAACAAGTTCGCCGAGTTCTACAACTGGCTGAAGCAGATCAAGGAGTTCCATCGCAAGCATCCCAACAAGATCTGTGTGCCCATGTCAGTAGAATTTGTCAGTAGAATTTGTGGAGGTCTTAAAGGCCCGGGAAAACCCAAGAGAAGAGGCTCAGAACCTTGTGGAGTTCGCTGATGAAGAAGGATATTGCCACTATCTGGACCTGCACGATTGCTACCTGAAGTACATCAATCTCAAGTCATCTGAGAAACTGGACTACATCACTTACCTGTCTACTTTTGACCAGCTCTTTGACATTCCAAGGATAGAAAGAATGCTGAGTACAGAAGGTATTTGGAGATGCTGTTGGAATATCTGCAGGATTATACAGACCGAGTAAAGCCTCTGCTTGACCAGAATGAGCTGTTTGGCAAAATTCAGGGAGATTTTGAGAAAAAGTGGGA